TAGGAAGTCACTAGCTTGCTTTCGATTTTATAGGCTCATAGGTGGAAGGGACTCCTTGTCTCAAATGAGACTTTGGACTGTGGACTTTTGTGATAATGTTCAAATGACTTAAGACTTTGGAGGACTGTTGAGAAGGCACAGTTGGTTTTCAAATGTGAGGACATGAGATTTTGAGGGGCCAGGGGCAGAATAATATGGTTTGGCTGTGTCCCCACCCACAACTCATCTTGAGTGGTACTCCCATAATTTCCACAGATTGTGGGAGGAACCCAGTGGGAGATCATTTGAATCATGGGGCCGATTTCCCCTATACTGTTCTCATGGTAGTGAGTAAGTCTCACAAGATCTGACAGTTTTATCAGAGGTTTCTTTCCGCTTTTGCAGCGTTCTCACTTTCTCTTGCTGCTGCCATGTAAGAAGTGCCGTTTGCTGCCCATCATGATTCTGAGGCCTCCCCAGCCATGTGGAACTGTAAGTTTAATTAAACCTCTTTTTCTTTTCAGACTCAGGTATGCCTTTATCAGCAGTATGAAAATGGACTAAGACACCCTGCAATATTTTACAATCACAAATTTTTTAACTTTTAGAAATAACACTTTATTCAGTAAAATATTGGCCGAGTTTGTTTTTACCCAGACTTTGAAGTAGTTTTTAAATGGCTATGGCCAAAGGAAAGAAATCATCCTCTGAATGATAATATTTCCCACTTTCTTGTTTTTTAAAGAAATTAAATATTGCTTAAGATGTATTTTGACCTCCTTTAGTGAAAGAGGTGTGAATCTTAAAATATCATTTTGGCAACATTGAATATTCTGTCAATTTACATGCATACAATATTCTCTAAATTGTGTTTTTGTGACTATACCTTTCTGCTTGGAAACAAAATCATTTTACATTTGTAATAATAAAAAAGAAACTATAAGCAAATGAACGTACTGTCTTCCCTGCATAAATAGACTGCAAACTTTGCAATATCCAGCCTGGAAAGCTTGAAGTAAAGGCATGATATAATGAAAATCTATAAAATCAGAATATCACATTGTTGGATACTCTTTGTAGCCTAAACCATACTATTATATGAAAAAAATCAAAAGAAAAATGATATATCAGAAGGTAATACATACTGAGTCTATCAAAAAACATAATAGTTTACAAAGGTATTTAAATAAATTCATGGATATTTGATTTGTATTACCATTATGGGAAGCTGATTATATTTAAAGCATATTTTCTTGACAGAAATTGTATTTGTATCTTGTTTTATATTCATAAATCATTGTCTAATTTACCAAGATTGTGGTTTAAGCTTTGTAGGCATGAGGATTGTGCCCTTCTCACTAATTTGTCTATCCACTGAAGTGTCTACTACATTGTATAGATATTGGAAACTCAATTAATATATTGGATTGTATTAAACAATCATTTTTTCTAAGAAAACAGCCATTAAGCATAATAATTAAATGGTTAGACTATTGGTAGCACAAAGAGAGTTAGTTTAGTAAAGACAGAAATTCTGATATTTGAAATCAAGAATTCCCACTAGCAAGTAAGTGTAAAGTTATATACCACTTGTACACAAGAAAATATAAGATTGAAAAGCATAAAGAAAATATACCTCTTTCCTCAATGATTAATATATAATGCAGACCTATATAAACATTTGTAGTAATACTTTTTGATGAACAGAATTAAAGATCTCTACCACTTATATTTTAGATTCTTAAGACCATTGGAATACATATACACAGTAAAGACATATGTATTTACAATGTAATGTTGAGTTAAATTAAGTGTGCTAAAGGCACATTTCTTTCACACTGTTTGTAAAAATTGCACAGGAATGCCCAGATCCTGAGTACACTAAGAGCAATTGAAATAATTTGCTCAAATATAAGTGTTTTATAGTGATTTACTTTTTAGATGTCAGTGAATGGAAGATAGTTTATTAATACTATCTACATTTCTAGACACACTTTATTAAAGAGTAGGGTGCTAGAAGTCCTCTAAAATTCAAAGTACAATCAGAATAGCAACATGCACACTTGCCTCAGGAACTAGTATGTCCTCTGTGCACATGTATTTATGATCTAGTCAGAAAGCTAAGGAATAAAAAAAAACTAATAACTAAGTGTTTATTAGAGCGTATGAAGAATAATAGAGAGGATGGGTTACATACCTCCAGAGGTTGGAGAGAGACAGCGAGAGACAGAGAAAGAGAGAACACATCAATGAAGTCATAGACCACTGCTTATAAAATCAAATTTTAAAGACATTTATTTGGGAAATACCTCAACTGAAAAGAACCAATTTTGCTTTCATGCCAGTAAATCTTATTGTCCCCAACTGTAGTAGGAGAAAATAGGTTGTCAGAAACCCGCCGAGACTTTTCTGCTAAAGATTTTCAGCATAGTCAGAAGAAATGCAAGGATTCACAAAAAAGAAAATCATCATCCTTCTTGTCATGTAGTCCCAGGAGTTTGTACATTATAAATCTGGAGCTGTGAAGTCCACAGAAGCAGGACTTGTCTGGATCTGGGAAGAACAATGTAACATCTCTCTGATAATAATGTTTATTATAATCCTCATCACCATCATGATCCTGATGATTACATTTGGGCAGTGCTTTATCATTTACAGAGCATTTGAATATGTATTGTCTTTTTTCTTCACAACATATCTACAAGTTAATTAGGGAAAAAAAACTGGCCCTGCTTCAGAAATAATTAAACAGGGACTCAGAGGGAGTCAATTTTTCACCTAAGGTCACAAAGGAATGGAACCTTTGTCTTCCAAATTTTAATTCAGCATTCTTTCCATTGAGATGTGGGTGTAAACAGGGAGGTAAATAGTACTCTTCAACATAAAGACTTTCCTTGATTACAAAGGTTAAAATCTTATGTCACATTTGATTCACAATGACTTGAATCTAGTTCTAGAGTTAGGTAAATGAGGCTGGATTACTGCACCACTGACATAGTAGAATTACCTTGACAAGTAAATGAGTTTACTTCTCTGAACTTCATTTTCTCTATTTTTTAAATATAAACAATCCACTTCTTGCAGTGTGATTGTGAAGGTAAAAGGAGACAAAACATGTGAAGGTGCAATGAACATCTGAAGTAGCCAATAAATATTTGTTCTAATTTCTTTTCTCAGAGAGAGGTGAGTTAGAAAACTCAGGCACTAGTCATTAAAGTCTGGATGGGTTTAGCAAATCTAGAGATTAGGTTCAGAGGTTAGGGAATCTGAGATATAAGCACTAAGAAACAGAAAGCACTAATATAAACTCTGTCCTAGGTGATAGGGTTTTGAGCTCTGTTCTCTTTTACATGCCCTGCTATATGTGGGGGCATAAATATGCTTAAAACAAGAGAGAAAGTTAAAATACTGCAGATTCGGCTGGGCGTGGTGGCTCACGCCTGCAATCCAAGCACTTTACAGGCAAAGGCGGGCGGATCACCTGAGGTCGGGAGTTCAAGACCAGCCTGACCAACATGGTGAAACCCCGTCTTCAAAAAAAAAAAAAAAAAAAACACTGCAGATTCATACAGCCCTGGTCCATGCAGGAAAAATTATGCAGGCTCTTCCTTCGCTCTTCCACAGTTTTGCCACAAATAGTCAATAAGTAGATATCCAGTAGCAGCCAACCATATAGGGTATTGCAACTTCATAGATAACACCTTAGGAGTCAAAATTGTTTTTTTATTGCCCATCTATGTTTGGTGCTCCATTGCATTTGGTAATGAGAGTTAAATTTAAGAAATTGCATTGTTGCATACAGGTCAAACATTTCTTTTAGAGTAAGTGACTAAAAGGCAATGAGAATATATAGCCTGATTGCTTTATATGTAGTAGGGCAAAGACAGCTCTTGATTAAAAGATTATTGTGCTTTTATTTTTTGTCATGGCCATAGTCCTTAAGACCTTTATCATAGTGCTAGATTTTGCAATGAAGTTCTTATACAAATATTTATGTTAGTTATTGGTTATGTGTGGATACACTGAGGCTATTTTGGGGGCAAGTCCTATTAATTTTTTGTTATGCCGAATGTTTAATCTTGGAATTTACTGTGAAAGTACAAAGGCCAAAGTTATTAGCACAAACTGAAAGGCAGAGAGTATGGATGACTCTTTTTTTTTACAAGTTTATTTATAAAAAGCCAGCTTTGGTATCATGCAGCATAATAAATTGCTTCTAAGCAAGGCTTCCACCGTCTATCTTATTTATCTTTAGCAAAGCAGTGTCATAAGTCATATGCAGATTTAACAAAACCATGAAAAATTATTTAGTGCATGTGGTGTTAACAAAATGTGTGAAAATAATAATAGAGTGTCACAGAGAACATCACCAAGTACATTTTGTTTTGGTTTTCAAATTTTGACTTCTTGTTGACTTCTAGCTGCTTTTAGTGTTTATATCTCTTTCGAAAAGTCGCTTATTACATAGAGTTCAAATAGAAGGAAAAATAAGATTTTTTGTTTCTTAGGAATGAAAGTGGGCTATATACCACGTATACTTGTGTTTAATAAAGTATTTTTTGTTGGAAGTGGAACAGAAGGACAAAACAAGTATGAATTAAATTTATTTAGTGATGTCATTTATTCTGTAGTACAACTGCTACATTTTACTAAATTCAACAGTTCTACATCTGGAAGGGCCAAGTCGACTGCCCAACCCACTCCTTGAAAAGTTCAAGGGCTATACAAATTGGGGAATACTCAACTGCACCGAATGTTCATAAATTTGCAAGATGTCAGTTTCATGCTGTAATTCCCTCTTAGGAAAACGTAATACACATTACCATATTGGAGGTTCTGAAAAGCCCTGCAGTGCAAACATCAGTTAAAGCTTTTCGTGAAAGCAGAGGGAGCAGTGCGGGAGAGGGGTTGGACCCAGGGCTGAGGCAGGCCCCTCCTCCCCCGCTCCCTCCCGCCTCACTGGATCAAGCTCAGGGCAGCAGCGGTGGCGGTTGCGGGGGTGGGGGGCGGCGGGTGGGGGGCGGGGGTGCCGGCGCAGAGACGATGCTGTTTCCAGTTACAACACAGAGAACACAACACACACAACCGCCACAGAAGCACTATGGCATCACTTCTATCAGCTTAGCAGCCCTCAAGGAGACTGACTGCATACTTACACAGAAACTCATTGAGACACTGAAACCCTTCGGGGTTTTTGAAGAGGAAGAGTAACTGCAGCGCAGGATTTTAATTTGGGGAAAACTAAATAACCTGGTAAAAGAGTGGATATGAGAAATCAGTGAAAGCAAGAATCTTCCACAATCTGTAATTGAAAATGTAGGAGGAAAAATTTTTACATTTGGATCTTACAGGTTAGGCGTACATACAAAAGGTGCTGATATTGATGCGTTGTGTGTTGCACCAAGACATGTTGATCGAAGTGACTTTTTCACCTCATTCTATGATAAGTTGAAATTACAGGAAGAAGTAAAAGATTTAAGAGCTGTTGAAGAGGCATTCTTACCAGTTATTAAACTCTGTTTTGTTGGGATAGAGATTGATATTTTGTTTGCAAGATTAGCACTGCAGACAATTCCAGAAGATTTGGACCTACAAGATGACAGTCTGCTTAAAAATTTAGATGTAAGATGTATAAGAAGCCTTAACGGTTGCAGGGTAACCCATGAAATTTTACATCTAGTACCAAACATTGACAACTTCAGGTTAACTCTGAGAGCTATCAAACTATGGGCCAAATGCCACAACATCTATTCCAATATATTAGGTTTCCTCGGTGGTGTTTCCTGGACTATGCTAGTAGCAAGAACTTGCCAGCTTTATCCAAATGCAATAGCATCAACACTTGTACATAAATTTTTCTTGGTATTTTCTAAATGAGAATGGCCAAATCCCATGCTATTGAAACAGCCTGAAGAATGCAATCTTAATTTGCCTGTATGAGACCCAAGGGTAAACCCCAGTGATAGGTACCATCTTATGCCTATAATTACACCAGCATACCCGCAACAGAACTCCACGTAGAATGTGTTCGTTTCAACACGGATGGTCATGGTTGAAGAGTTTAAGCAAGGTCTTGCTATCACAGATGGAATTTTGCTGAGTAAGGCAGAGTGGTCCAAACTTTTTGAAGCTCCAAACTTTTTTCAAAAGTACAAGCATTATATTGTGCTTCTAGCAAGTGCACCAATAGAAAAACAACGCCTAGAATGGGTGGGCTTGGTGGAATAAAAAATCCGAATCCTAGTTGGAAGCTTGGAGAAGAATGAATTTATTACCCTGGCTCATGTGAATCCCCAGTCATTTCCAGGACCCAAAGAAAATCCTGATAAGGAAGAATTTCGCACAATGTTGGTGATTGCGTTAGTGTTTAAAAAAACAGAAAACTCTGAAAACCTCAGTGTTGATCTCACCTATGATATTCAGTCTTTCACAGATACAGTTTATAGGCAAGCAATAAACAGTAAGATGTTTGAGGTGGATATGAAAATTGCTGCAATGCATGTAAAAAGCAAGCAACTCCATCAACTACTACCTAATCATGTGCTTCAGAAAAACAAAAAGCATTCAACAGAAGGTGTCAAATTGACAGCTCTCAATGACAGCAGCCTTGACTTGTCTATGGACAGTGATAACAGCATGTCTGTGCCTTCACCTACTCGGTGCTACGAAGACCAGTCCATTGAACAGCTCTGGCAGCTCTCAGGGCAGAAACAGTCCTGCTCCAGCTGTAACAGCAGCATCTGTGACCAACATACAGGCTACTGAAGTTTCTGTGCCACTAGTAAATTCCAGTGAAAGCTCAGGGGGTACATCGAGTGAAAGCATCCCTCAAACTGCCACACAACCAGCAATTTCTCCACCACCAAAGCCTACGGTCTCCAGAGTTGTTTCTTCAACACGTCTGGTAAACCCACCACCTAGATCTTCAGGAAATGCAGCAACAAAAATACCTACTCCTATAGTAGGAGTCAAGAGGACATCCTCACCTCATAAAGAAGAGAGTCCCAAGAACACCAAAACCGAAGAGGACGAAACAAGTGAAGATGCTAACTGTCTTGCTTCGAGTGGACATGCTAAAACAGAAGCAAGGGAACAACTTGATACAGAGACAAGTACAACTCAATCAGAAACCATTCAGACAGCAGCTTCTGTGTTGGCCTCTCAGAAAACATCCAGTACAGACCTTTCTGATATCCCTGCTCTCCCTGCAAATCCTATTCCTCTTATCAAGAATTCAGTAAAACTGAGATTGAATCGGTAAAAACAACCTCAGGGGTCCATAAACAATATCTGCCAACTCAACCTGTTCTCTTCAAATGCTAAAAAAGGAGAATGGAGGGTACAAGACAAGACATGACTGAAATGGATTTGGGTTTTTTTGGTGACCTCCCTTACTGGGCTAATCAGCACTTGATCGGAAGTCCAGGTTACTATGTGAAGCCAGGAGTGCTATTATTACTATGTTAGCAACAGTTGCATTAACTATTTCAAAAATTACTGCCTTTAAAAAAACTTCAAGCTATATTTGTATCCATAATTGACATCTGGATTGGGTTTATGTTTGATGCAATGTTTGGAAAATTTGCAATACAAACTGGCATAAAAATTACTTATTCTGGAAAAAAAAAAACTTTTAATCAAAATGTTTCAGGAGTACATGTGCAGCTTTGTTATACAGGTAAACTTGTGTCATGGGGGATTGTTATACAGATAATTTTGTCACCCAGGTGTTAAGTCTAGAACCAAATAGTTATTCATCCTGATCCTCTCTCTCCTTCTACCCTACACCTTCTGATAGACCCCAGTGTGTGTCGTTCCCCTCTATGTGTTCATGTTATCTCATTGTTTATCTCCCACTTATAAGTGAGAACATGCAGTATTTAGTTTTCTTTTCCTGGGTTAGTTTTCTAAGGATAATGGCCTCCACCTCCAACCATGGTGCTGCAAAGGACATAATTTTGTTCTTTCTATAGCTGCATAGTATTCCAGGGTACATATGTACCACATTTTCTTTATTCAGTTTACCATTGATGAGCATTTAGCTTGATTCTATGTCCATGATGTTGTGAATAGTGCTACAATGAACATATGTGTGCATATGCCTTTAGGATAGAATGATACATTTTCCTTTAAGTATATACTCAGTAATGGGATTGCTGGGATGAATGTATTTCTGTTTTTAGGTCTTTGAGGAATTGCCACACTGTCTTCCATAATGGTTTAATTAATTTTCACTTCCACCAATAGTGTGTATACATTCCTCTTCCTCTGCAACCTTACCAGCATCTGTTATTTTCTGACTTTTTAATTATAGCAAATGTAACTGGTGTGAGATGGTATCTCACTGTGGTTTTTATTTCTTTTTATCTTATAACCAGTGATGTTATTTTTTTTTTTATCATTGTTTGCCATGTATATGTTTTCATTTGGAAAGCATCTGCTCATGTCCTTTGCCCACTTTTTAATGGGTTTTTGTTTGTTTGTTTTGTAAATTTATTTAAATTCCTTATAGATTGTAGATATTAGACCTTTGTTAGATGTATAGTTTGTGATTTTTATTTTCCATTCTGTGGGTTGGTCTTTTCACTTTGTTGATAGTTTCCTTTGCTGTCCAGAAAGTCTTTAGTTTCATTAGATTCCATTTGTCAATTTTTTTTTTTTTTTATGATTGCTTTTGGCATCTTCATCATGAAATCTTTGCCTATTCCTATGCCCAGAATGGTATTGCCTAGGTTGTCTTCCAGGAATTTTGTGTGTGTGTGTGTGTGTGTGGNTTTGAGACCAAGTCTCGCTCTGTCACCCAGGCTGCAGTGCAGTGGCACAATATCGGCTCACTGCAACTTCCACCTCCCGGGTTCAAGTGATTCTTCTGCCTCAGCCTCCCGAGTAGCTGCTATTACAGGCATGTACCACCATGCCCAGCTAATTTTGTATTTTTAGTAGAGACAGGGTTTCTCCATGTTGGTGAGGCTGTTCTTGAACTCCTGACTTCAGGTGATCCACCCACCTCGGCATCCCAAAGTGCTGGGATTACAGGCATGAGCCACCGTGCCTGGCCAGCATTTTTCAAAAGAAACCAAATAATAACAGGTCTATGAAAAACATAAAATGCCCAGCATTACTAATCATCAGAGAAATTCAAATTTAAACTATAATGATATATCAACTCACATCTATTTGAAAGGCTATTATCAAAAAGTCAGGAGATAAACAAATATTGCCAAGGATGTGAAGAAAAGAGAACCCTCATGCACTCTTGGTGGGAATATAGAATGGTATAGCCATTGTGAAAAACGGTATGGAGGTACACCCCAAATTAAAAATATAACTACCATATGACCCAGCAATTACTCTTCTAAGTCTATAATCTAAATAAAATGAAGGCATTATGTCAAAGAGATAAGTGCACTCACATATTTATTACAGCATTATTCACAATAGTTATGATATTGAATCAACATTTGTCCATCAATAAGTGAATGAATAAAGAAAATTTGGTATGTGTACACAATAGAATGCTATTTACTCTTAAGAAAAAATGAAATTCTGTCATTTGTGACCCTGGAAGAACCCTGAGAACATTATACTAAGGGAAATATACCAGGCATAGAAAGACAAATATTGCATGATCTCATTTATATGTCGAATCTCAGGAAGTCCAACTCATAGAAGCAGAGGATAAAATGGTGGTTATGAGGAACTTCTGGGAAAGGGGAGGACTTGGGAGATATTGGTCAAAGAATGCAAATTTCAGTCCAATAGCAGGAATAAGTTCGGACCATTTTGGTCCATTGTACAACAGGGTAACTATAGGTTATAGTATATTTTATAATTGTAAATTACTATCAGAGTAGATTTTAAATGTTTTCACTTCAAAAAAGTACAAATGTGTGAGGGGGTGAAGGGTATGTTAATTAACTTGATTTAAGCATTACACAATTTAAATAAATACCAAATCATCATGTTGGATACCACAAATATATAAAATTTTTATTTGTTGGCCGGGCGCGGTGGCTCAAGCCTGTAATCCCAGCACTTTGGGAGGCCGAGGCGGGTGGATCACGAGGTCAAGAGATCGAGACCATCCTGGTCAACACGGTGAAACCCCGTCTCTACTAA